TATAGTGGTTATTTCTAATGAAATCCATATTAAGAATGGTTCTGAAATTAAAGTAATTGTAGCACTAAAGGTTAATAATATAAATAAGCATAATCAAGTGAAAGGCGTAAAATATATTATAATTATATATAATTAAATGGTGATTGATCTATAATTTATTTATTGTAAATTGTAAATATAAATTATTTTTGAGGTTCTTAATTATATTTTATTGTATTAGCATATGAAATTTTGAATTTTATGGAATTAATTAAAATTAATAATATTATTCAATCGTATCTAATACAATATATCGTTTTCAGTTATTTTTCTAGGTCAAAGCTTGAAAGTGGCTCGCAGGAAATAATTGCGACGATTTCTCACGTTACCGAACTTATTTCACGGAATTGTTCATTTATTCTTCGTCGAAGAATAAATTTCTTTAATATTAAAGAATGATCGCCTGTTTCGTCAGTTGTTTCGCACTTTGGCCTGCAATTTGAACTTTCGAATAGACGAGCTAATAGCTACTATACGGTTTTCTAATTCGCCGCTTTTCGAAGCGTTCGTCCGAGGTAAGCCGCGAAATTACTTTGAAAGTTCGACGTTTTAACTTTCAAATTAGAACTTCGGTATCCGAAAATAAAATCGGACAACAGAGTTTCGCATAACAATTATTTTAATATTCGCGGTGTCCTCGATTTCATAATTAGAGCGCGCGGGAACGACGCATTAAATGAAGCACGATAGACGCTAATAGAAGTCTATTCGTTAGCCGGCGTTTTTATCTGACACGTCGACCTTGTTCGGAACGTACTTTGGAACGATCGATTACGATCGACACTAACGCTGGAAAATATTTCGTTAATTGCCCTAATCAGTCCATGACCGAGCCGAATTCATTAATCGGCGAGCAGGTCCCGGCATGTTGCGTACAGATATTACAGCTCCGCGCGAGCAACGGTATTCCAGCTGCGGCGTGTTCTTTCACTCTTCGACGGCTCTATGATTTCTCTTCTCGTTGGCTCGCGACCTTGAAAAGGCCATCGAGAGCCTACGCGCGTTTCTCGTTTTAGAACTTTACAGAAGTCTCGACTTGTTTCTCTTTTTTTTTTGTTACGCTACCGAATCCCTGGCCGGATTATTGGCGATGTAAATACATACAAATAAGATACAGAGAAAAAGAAGGAGGAAAAAGAAAGAACGCGATAGCAGTTACACTTATACATGTACTCGTAAGTGTGTACATAGTCCGGTGTGTATGCCTGGGATATTTGAACTCGACGTTCTATGAAAAAAATCGAACCGTTGCTTCGATCGCCTGCCATCGGCAGAATTTTTGTTACTTCAATCCGACGATTTTAGAAATTGTGTTCGCTAATATGGAACATTTGAAACCGGTAAATTTTTCAGGCGAAAGCTCCGCGTCGGCTCCGAGGAGATTTAGCAAGAGGACCGAAAAGTATCGCCATGTTTTTTGCGCGTGCTACTTTCAGAAACTTTCAATTTGAAACATAAACTCGAGACCTCGGATATTAAGCTGATAAATAGGCTGCGGATTTTATGGATTTGTAGCAAAAAATGAGTAGACCGAATATGTCAAAGCATCGAAAGCGTTTGAGGGCATTGAAAAATCCTGTCGTATTAGTTTTGACTGGAATGGATGATCGAGAAGAGAAATAAATGTCTGCGTAGCTCCTGGATCTTGCAACAAATGCCGGCAATTTTGTATTTCAAAATCCACTGTGTATCAACGTTAGAACTACCAAACCAATCGAAATGTCTGGTCTCTCATTTTTTTTCTTTTGCAATTCTTGATACTATAAAGATGTATTTGTCAGAAACTTTTGTACGAACTTCCTATGTAATTTATTCGTAAAAAATGGTCTATTTGGGTGTGAGTCAGGTAAGAAAAACCGCGCTACTACAAGATACGTGATTAATCTCTGACGAAACATGGCAAAAAATTAGAAATACAACAGTTAATTAATAGCCGCTGCCTTTTTATGTCGACTGCCTCGAGCTTTTATAAAAAACGAGCAGCGAGACTCGAAGAATGGTGTCTTAGCGCGACTTAGTATTCTCGGATTTGCGTGTTTCGATTCCGACACCAAACATTTCTGGGAGAAATTACTTTACTAGTCTTTTTTAAAAGTTTTTCGATATGTGATCCTCAATGTCTCTAGTTGATTTTCCATCGAACAGAAGATAGAAGGCAATTTTTAAAGGTTATTATCATCAAATTTTGTACCCTGACTGGCAATTGAGGCGATTATTAGCACGTCCGGAAAGTTCTGCGGTTTTCACGGGGACAGGGTTCGAGGGGATCATATTAAAACGATAAAGAATTTTATTCGACGAGGTAATCTCCATTTCACTGAATTTTAATTGTTTTCACCTGTCGATTAAACGGATGATCTTTCTTTTTGTAAAACCAGTTTTAATTATTCGAAAAGTCACCGTCAGAATGACTCTACAGAGTCGTGAGAAACCGTAGAATTATCCGGATTACCTAATCGTCGAGTTTATTAGGTTCTATTAGAATGACGTAAGATATCGTTACGAGAACTTGAAAGATTATCGTACTGCACCAAGAATTATGTTCTTTAAAAAACTGTAGGCCGTCTTTAACGCTGAAGCAAATTCAGTAAAATCAGAGGAACAATAATAAATAATGTAGATAAATTATGTATAAATATGAATGTATAAATAGATATATGAATGATATATAAAAATATAGGTATATAAATAAATATATCAATTAATATACATACATGTATATTTATTTATATATTTATTTATTTATATAATTTATAAATTTATTTATACATTCATATTTATACATAATATTTACCTATATTATATATACAAATAAATAATATAATTACTATAGCAATATAATGACTACTTTTTGGTGCAATTTTAACCCTTTGCAGTCAAAGGGCAGCAGCAAATATTTTTACATGTTTTCGAAAAATTGTTGCGAGTCGAAAAACTCAATGTCATAAAATGCAATAAAGTATGCTGAGGTATCTCCAATTCGTGTTCCACACAATTGTATGCCCACGACGCGGAAAATCCACCGTCTAACAATTACACCTGCTGTAACTCGAATCGCGTCCTTGAATCATTAAGTCTTTCGCTTTCATATTTAAGCTCCATTGATTGCTATGCAGCACTTGCAACACTGACTGTTGATATTTACGCGAAACAGAAATGCTATGCATCTCAATTGCAAGAGACAAAAGCAAAATTTAAAGAATCCTTCCTTCAATCATTTTCATGAATAAAAAATAATACATCGACGTTTCAAGATACTTTACTTATAAATGCCTAAAATCCGCAATCAAAGCATCGTAAATTCTCGGAGATCTGTAAAATCTCGGAACATCCGTATGTTATCCGATCTTAACGAATGACGTCCAACAAAATAAATATACTATTCTTCACGAGTAACGTAATCCTCCGTAATTAATAAATCTCCACACATAATACTGATCTCAAATTTGAGATACAATAGAACCTCGATTCACGGAACTGGATTTTCCTCGATCTTTATTATTCAGATTTTTCATTGTTCCATGCAATAACGATAAAATAACGATAAAGGGCCTCGATTAAACCTCGACCTATCATCCTGTACCATTCTATTAACAATTTATCGAAAATAGAAAGAAATTTTGAGTTCCGATAATCGAAGTTCTGCTGTACTGCGATGTTCACCAAATTCGGCATTATTCAACACTTTAACATCCGAATTTGCAATATCATTCGACGAGCAACGCGGGGAATGGCGATCGCGATGCGGAGCAATTAGCGCGGTTTATGGCCGGCGGAAGTTCACAAATGCGGATTCACCTTGAACCTAAGTGGGCCGACCGGCGGTTTCGCGTACGGGACCCCACGAAACGCGAGGTACTTTCCGCCGTAGACATTCTCCTCGACGGTGCCAGAGATCTGGCCCTGTTTCACGGTCACCAACGGAACTTCGCGCGCCATGTGACAGTATGAACGCCGCTTGTCGGAGCAACAATACTAACTGACATGTAGAGTCTCGGCGGAGTCACAAGTGTTCTGCCGTCCCGAGCCAATGAACCGCTTGGTGGGGGGTTAGCGGAACGGTCCCCGAGATCTAGCGATCTAGGTGACGAACGATGGGTTCGAGTATGTCGGTGAACAGGTTCCAGTGGCGTTCGAAGAGTCTCGTGGGTCCACTCGCGGATACAGAGGCCTGATAACAGGACCGAAGGAAAATGAACTTTTCAAATAGTAAATAGACTAGGAACATATTTAGTACGCTATAGAGTACGCTATAGGAACCTGATGGTTTTTTATATGAAATTACACAGTTTCAAGATATCTATTTTCGAATACATATATTATATATATATATATATATATATATATATATATATATATATATATTTTTATATTATATATAATTTTATAATATATATATATATATATAATATTTATATTATATATTATATTATATATATTATATTATATACATATATTTCGTAAATTTCCCATTACCCGTTCCATATATTTTCAATAATTACCCTGATCTCGAAATAACCTTGACATAACCTTGAAATAACCCCAGCTGACAACGATGGATTACGATGGGAGCGACGAATTATAATAAAAATAGATTGTAATAATAACATTGCAAGAATACGATTTATTGAAATATGAATTATTTATGTTCAAGAACGGAACGTCTGAATTTCATTATTATCTAACGATTCTACTGGCACACGAATGACTAGACAGAATCGTCTAGGACGTAAGATAAGTGCAATAATGCCTAACAAGTGTTCTCACGTCGAGCAATGTAAAATCGTTATAATTTATGCGCATGAAATCGACACCTGCGTGCTGTTTTATTTTCCATTACGTTTCTTTCGAACGGAACAAAATTGAAACAAATTGAACGGATTACATAACGTCATTCAAGAAATTGATATCGTATCTCGTTAGAGTTCACAGATAATTCGTAGCCTTTGATCAGTTCACTTGCGACACATTCCAATCTGTACTTGCACGTGATTGAACGGAATTTCTGAGGTGTTTTAAATCGAAGTAAAAGCTTGGGAGAGCATTCCCAAAAACTTCGATCTCCGTCGAGAGTCTGAGAATTATTCTTGAACCTTGATATGCACCTTATCAGTTGAGAACGAACTATGCATTGTGCTAGCTTTGTCTATTAATAAAATGTGCAATAAAAATCCGGTTGAACGTAGCGCCTTCTAACTTCCTTTATTGCCAATATTTTACTGAAATTTAGATACATTTTTACAATGCGTTCGTACGTGTTTTGTAATTGTATATTAAATTATTAAATTTATTCGTTGCGTAAATTACAATTTTATTCGTGAACTCCTATCTCCGTTTTATCGTACATGTATGTATAGAGAAAGTAGATAAAAATCCCCGAGAACAGATTAACAACGAATAATAATTAAAAGCAGTGATTCGTTAAATTTCATATTTTTTATGCCGAGAACGTTCGCACGTTGATCTTTGGTACAACCAGAAACAAAAACATACTCGTAATCACGACTCGATTAAACGAACGATGAGATTATCACCGATATATCGACCAATCGACGCAGATAAGAATAAACGATGACTCACTTCGCTTATCGAAAACATCCTAATCTCGATGCCGATATTTATCGCGTTCGCAACAGTTTATCTTCTTTCCCGGACGATCAGCGTTATCTTGCAGAGCTCATGAGTGAACGTTTCCGTTGCTTAGAGAGGGAAACGAATTTATTGCAACCGGGTTGCGCCATTTCGGCTCGTTTTTCAACGGAACGTACAGCGACTAGCTTTCGTACACAAAGACAATGCCACCTAACTTTATCATCGAAAATGCTTCCTTTATTCCTGCTTTGAAGATAAACTGTGCTAGTCGTAGACAGTGTTCTTCCTGCAGTCCAGGAAATAGGTCTTGTATGTGGCGTATACAGCGTAATACAGCACATTTCATGGCGACCATAATTTTATTTAACACGTGATGATACACCAATTTAAATATTAATGATATATTATATTGTGTTATATTATAATTATAGTAATATTAACAAGTATGATAATTATAATAAATATAATTAATAAATATCATAATTGCAATATCTGTCTCTTATACACATCTAGATGTGTATAAGAGACAGCATATATATATTGCAATTATGATATTTATTAATTATATTTATTATAATTATAATACTTGTTAATATTACTATAATTATAATATAACACAATATCTGTCTCTTATACACATCTAGATGTGTATAAGAGACAGCATATATATATTGCAATTATGATATTTATTAATTATATTTATTATAATTATAATACTTGTTAATATTACTATAATTATAATATAACACAATATCTGTCTCTTATACACATCTAGATGTGTATAAGAGACAGCATATATATATTGCAATTATGATATTTATTAATTATATTTATTATAATTATAATACTTGTTAATATTACTATAATTATAATATAACACAATATCTGTCTCTTATACACATCTAGATGTGTATAAGAGACAGCATATATATATTGCAATTATGATATTTATTAATTATATTTATTATAATTATAATACTTGTTAATATTACTATAATTATAATATAACACAATATCTGTCTCTTATACACATCTAGATGTGTATAAGAGACAGCATATATATATTGCAATTATGATATTTATTAATTATATTTATTATAATTATAATACTTGTTAATATTACTATAATTATAATATAACACAATATCTGTCTCTTATACACATCTAGATGTGTATAAGAGACAGCATATATATATTGCAATTATGATATTTATTAATTATATTTATTATAATTATAATACTTGTTAATATTACTATAATTATAATATAACACAATATCTGTCTCTTATACACATCTAGATGTGTATAAGAGACAGCATATATATATTGCAATTATGATATTTATTAATTATATTTATTATAATTATAATACTTGTTAATATTACTATAATTATAATATAACACAATATCTGTCTCTTATACACATCTAGATGTGTATAAGAGACAGCATATATATATTGCAATTATGATATTTATTAATTATATTTATTATAATTATAATACTTGTTAATATTACTATAATTATAATATAACACAATATCTGTCTCTTATACACATCTAGATGTGTATAAGAGACAGATATTGCAATTATGATATTTATTAATTATATTTATTATAATTATAATACATACATATATATATATATATATATAATTATCAATATATTATAATAATTATAATATATATATAATATAATATAATAATTATAATATATATATAATATAATATAATATAATAATTATAATATATATATAATATAATTATACTATTTATATTATTAATAATGATAATGATAATTATTCAATTCCGGTCTCAAAGACAGTTACATCTACAATATTTTCAGTCATGTAAACATAATTTTAAGTTTGAATTTCCTGCCACGACATAGTAACAATTCTTCTGGGTTCCGAATGGACACACACACACACAAGTTTTCGAAATTATTTTAGGGATATTGATGAATCTGTTCTCCCGAAATACGGCTCTCTGATAAAGCTACATTTTATTAGACTACCTTTTAGCACTGTATTTTTAGCACACGTGTTTGCCGATTGTATTTTACGTCCGGATTGGTTGGAAACCGTTTAACCGGAAGCAATTTTAACATTGTCGGAAAGTAAATGAATTGTCGCATGCTTCGCGTCGACGTTCGCCGCTGAAAGCGTTTCGATGCAAACATTATCGAACCGGTGTCACTTGTAATTTCGTCAGAAAATCCATATGAATTTTCGCGGATCTTATTTTAGCGATCGCCGGGCAGCGAGCCCGGAAACAGAGATTACCGTGCACGCGATAATAAAATCGTGCTGGTTTCTGTTTCGAAATAAAAAGCACGCTGGCAACTTCGAAGCGCGGATTGATTTATCACGCGGGATCACCCTAACCGGATTATTTAAATTCGCCGCCGCGCCGTTTGTTTCGAGCCAGTTTCCTTGGCGTCCAAATATTTTCCGTCCGTACGGGGAAACGTGGTTTCCCCGGGAAATTGGCTGGCCGTTTGGAAGAATGCCGGTTCATTCGCGTTTGTTCGTATTGTATTTATCAATCGGGGTATAAAATATCGGGGAACCGCGCGAATCGAACGGAACCATAATTTTATACGATTTTAATGTAAAATATTCCGCCACCGCCCGTTTTCTGCATCGCGATTGCATTCGTTATTGTGTAATTATTAATGTCGATCACATGCTCGCTCTCGTTAATGCGATAATAAATTCGTTGAGTTCGTCTTATTCGAAAATCATCCGGTTGCGCTACTGCCTATTGTTTCTAATAACTAAGTTAATAGGTCCCATCAGCGGATGTGTGAATTTGCAAGTTACATATTGCGGAAGTTTCCTCATAAGCAGATCGCGCGGTAATTGCATAGCAGTGAATTCGTATACAAAGCGGACGCCGTTTAATGTAACTGCAATTGAATGCAATTATGCGTAAACTGTGCCTGTGATAATTATACATGGGTAGAAAATTTATCGACTATGGCATTATCGTTACCATTTCCCACTGTTACCGTTTTTAATAATAGTTGCAGTTTAAAAAAAAAATGTAAGGTCTTTTATCTTTATGCATATACGTAACTTTTTGTATTTTAGAAGTTTATGTTTAGCATAAGCACGTAAATATGCGCAATCTAGTCGTCGGTGGGCGTGGGTGGGTCGTTTAAACAATGAATGTTACGCAGATGACGAAGCTGAATTATTATCGACTGAATTAGCATTTTAATATTAATGGTTTCTAATTGAACATGTATTGGCGATGATTGAGTTTCCCTGTAGAGTATATTTGAATAAATTATTTTCCAATGCATAGATAAAAAATTGGAGTATGAATTGCAGATCACCAGGTTCCATTTTAATCTCGTGTGCAGCAAATATAGAATTATGCTATGTAAAACCATTTGTTTATTCTGGCACAGATTCGAATTTATTATTATTTATTTTCATATATATTATATTATATATTATTACATAAAGATATAAGATATTCATATATTATTATATAAAGATATATGATAAAGTTACTATAAATCGACTTAACCGTAAATGATTTAAACAATAAATGTGGTCAGTGAATAAATGATAAAGTTACTATAGATCAATTTAACCGTAAATGATTTAAACAATAAATGTGGTCAGTGAATAAATGATAAAGTTACTATAGATCAATTTAACCGTAAATGATTTAAACAATAAATGTGGTCAGTGAATAAATGATAAAGTTACTATAGATCAATTTAACCGTAAATGATTTAAACAATAAATGTGGTCAGTGAATAAATGATAAAGTTACCATAAATCAACTTAATCGTAAATGATCTAAACAATAAATGTGGTCAGTGAATAAATGAAAAGGTTACTATAAATCAACTTAACCGTAAATGATTTGAACAATAAATGTGGTCAGTGAATAAATGAAAAAGTTACTATAAATCAATTTAACCGTAAATGATCTTAACAAACAAATTTGGTCAGTGAACAATACACTCCTTGTCTCCCACAATGAAAAATCTGTTTTACGCCACTACAATTCTACCCCATTGATTCCTCATCGTCGTGAAATGAAGGATCTGTCGGCAGGAAACACCGATATTTCTCGCATCTGAAGAGAAGATCTTAGAGACAGGTGAAACTGTTCCTTATCGTTCTGTCAGCTCCAGTTATATCCATTTGCCAGGTTTAAACTGATTTCATCTTCGACTGCTTCTCTCCGCGAGCAAGACATGCCCGGGAACATGTTCGCCGGGGAAACGGCGGAGAAAAATCTATGGAAACCGAGCCGACGGTTTCGAGAAAAATCGATAAAACGTGGAAGACGTGGCGAATAAAGGTATCAGTATCAGTTTCTGTCGTCGATCGCGAAATCCGGTTTTACCTGGTATCTTTGCTAGCCACTTCCGCCGAGCCCGGACGATCCGTATCTGCCATCGTGGTTCTAGCGGTCGAATATCTACCACGTTTTCCCGCAAGAAATTGATTTCATTTCCAGCCGAACATTATTCCGAATAAATTCGAATGGAGATTCATTTCGACGTGAAATCGAACATTGCGCGCGTCGCGTGTTCCGATGCTCGATTATTTCACGTCGGGGCAAGTGATCGATCACTCGGGGGGAAAATCGTTTTGTGAAATGTACACGTGGCCACCGTTTTCCTTTTAAATCATTTTTGCAACGTACACCCCCCTCCAAAAGTACTAGGACACTTACGGGAAATCGAGTAAATATGAAAAACCCGACAGAAAATTGTTGTAATCCTTTAAATTTATCCCAAAGTTAATTATAATAAACTGTAACAGGTGCCAACATTTTTATGAACAAAATTAACTGCAGTCAGAAAACTGTCGAAGACGCCAAAAATTTCTAATTTGATCCGAAATATTCTTTTACACTTTTTCTGTTATTTTGAAGTTAAGGGATGAATATGAAATTGTCGCGAATACGCCGAGTTTTCTGGATTACTTCTACTGCACACTTTTATGAACAAATGATCGAAACAATTCCAATTAGAGAAACTGTGAAAACACTAAAAAGTTTTTAATTGAATGTAACATATCCCTTTGGCTTTTTCTGGTCTTTCCAAGCCGAACATGACTCTGTTGCATACACATTCAGCTCTTCGCATCTATTTTACCGCACATTATAGTCTGCAGCAATTACAACAATACTAAAGAACTATATAAATATGTATAATTATTATCATAAACATATGTAATGTTTTAAAAATTAATTTACTACAATACCTAAAAGCGACAATACACAAATTTAATCTAATTCATGCTACTGTTTCACCTTTTCTCTCCACGTAGAGCCAAACTAGTTCGAATCCTCTGGAAACACGCTGTGCACTTCACACATTCTTCTTCCTATTACACCGCGATGTTCACACGGTCTTCGTGCCGCAACGAAAAGAACTGAAAAGTCTCTAAGAGCAAAGTTCTCCTGTCCCTCCGAAGGATCAGCTCGATGTCAAAGTTGCGAGACATGGAACCGTTGCTCGCCGGGGATGAAGCTGCCGCAGCTTTGCTCGCATCGATTAGCGGATCGCAGAGGCTGAAGCAACTGCGACGACATCAGCGTCCAAGCGGATGGATCCGGGAAAGCGATTTGCAACGGCGCGGCGCTTATAAAGGTTAAATATTTGTCGATCGCTCAATCGCGCCCACGCTCGACCAATCCTGTCCGCGCCGCTCGCGATACGATCAATAAGCAGATGCAGTGAATTTTTTACGATCGGACTCGCCGGCGCGCTTTTACGACGACACCGGAGTCGGAGGTGTATCAAACCGCAGCTTGCACCGCGACGCTTTGTCCGGCGAAGATGAAGAACACTTGAACACTTTGCCGGCCGCTGTCACGCTGGCGTGACTTCTGCTCCCCAACGGTTATCGGCCGGGGTCACGTGCGCGTGTCACCGGCTCAGCGCAGCGACGATGTTTGTTAACATTTTTGTAAAATATTAATTATATATAATATATTATTATTAATATAATATATTATTATATCATATAATATAATAATAATATATCATATATAATATAATAATATATTATAATATATTATTATAATATATTATTATATTATATATGATATATTATTATTTTGTTTGTAAATAATATAAGTGATAATTTTGAGATATAAAAATATGCATTAAAATTTATGTAACACTAATTTTAGTGCCATTTTCAATGCCGTGCTTCGAAGCTCGTACGTTCGACTTTCGATCCTAATTGCGGTAAAATCTTGCAGATCGGATCGAAACGTGAACATCAATTTTGCTCTCGTTTGGTTCGATATCCTCTGTAATTGTGTTAGTTTGAATTTCATCTACAGTCGAATTGGATCGTAAAATACGATCGTGTTTCGTTCGAACGGAACGTCGAAATCTTCTCGAAAGCATTTTCGAATGCATCGAATTTCAAATTTCGCGTTCATTTCGAGTCTATCTGTTCGAGCCTGGAATAAAAATTCGAAAAATGCATTTTGCAGTGGTCGTAATCGATCTGACCGCATTCGGAAGTGAATGAAAGGGTAGATCGGTTAGTCAATCGATTGAAATAAACGCATATTGAGGCGCAACAAAGTGAATTCTGACTTCTTCGATCAGATCTCGGTCGAAGTCCTTCAAATTATCGCACAGTAGTTTAACAAGTTGCAGCCTCTATTCATGGATGTTTTGCTAGGCCGCTCATTGGCATTGGCATTGGCATAACAAATTGGTCTTACGTAACCGCCGCTTTCCTGTTGCCAACTTGAAACTCTGTTGCATACTTCCGCCAACGCGATCAAACGTCCATCAAATCGTGCAGACATCGGATATGCTTGTGCCCGTACAATTGAGGAACGCTTCGACTAATTTCTTCCATGATTTAACCGCTCGTTGCTGTATTTATTGTTGTCTACGTTTTTGTAATGTCGTCGGGTTTTCATTTACAAAGTCAAAATTTATTGCCGTTGTTGATGTCAGACAATTATTTACTTGCGAAATGGCCGTGAAAAATTAAATATATCTTTTTGTCAGTAACGATTCCACCTGCAAATAAACCATTCTGACACACAAATTTGTCTCGATTTTTAGACAATTCGAATTCACAGAAGTCTTCTGAGATTTTCTGAATAAATNAACGGCGCGGCGCTTATAAAGGTTAAATATTTGTCGATCGCTCAATCGCGCCCACGCTCGACCAATCCTGTCCGCGCCGCTCGCGATACGATCAATAAGCAGATGCAGTGAATTTTTTACGATCGGACTCGCCGGCGCGCTTTTACGACGACACCGGAGTCGGAGGTGTATCAAACCGCAGCTTGCACCGCGACGCTTTGTCCGGCGAAGATGAAGAACACTTGAACACTTTGCCGGCCGCTGTCACGCTGGCGTGACTTCTGCTCCCCAACGGTTATCGGCCGGGGTCACGTGCGCGTGTCACCGGCTCAGCGCAGCGACGATGTTTGTTAACATTTTTGTAAAATATTAATTATATATAATATATTATTATTAATATAATATATTATTATATCATATAATATAATAATAATATATCATATATAATATAATAATATATTATAATATATTATTATAATATATTATTATATTATATATGATATATTATTATTTTGTTTGTAAATAATATAAGTGATAATTTTGAGATATAAAAATATGCATTAAAATTTATGTAACACTAATTTTAGTGCCATTTTCAATGCCGTGCTTCGAAGCTCGTACGTTCGACTTTCGATCCTAATTGCGGTAAAATCTTGCAGATCGGATCGAAACGTGAACATCAATTTTGCTCTCGTTTGGTTCGATATCCTCTGTAATTGTGTTAGTTTGAATTTCATCTACAGTCGAATTGGATCGTAAAATACGATCGTGTTTCGTTCGAACGGAACGTCGAAATCTTCTCGAAAGCATTTTCGAATGCATCGAATTTCAAATTTCGCGTTCATTTCGAGTCTATCTGTTCGAGCCTGGAATAAAAATTCGAAAAATGCATTTTGCAGTGGTCGTAATCGATCTGACCGCATTCGGAAGTGAATGAAAGGGTAGATCGGTTAGTCAATCGATTGAAATAAACGCATATTGAGGCGCAACAAAGTGAATTCTGACTTCTTCGATCAGATCTCGGTCGAAGTCCTTCAAATTATCGCACAGTAGTTTAACAAGTTGCAGCCTCTATTCATGGATGTTTTGCTAGGCCGCTCATTGGCATTGGCATTGGCATAACAAATTGGTCTTACGTAACCGCCGCTTTCCTGTTGCCAACTTGAAACTCTGTTGCATACTTCCGCCAACGCGATCAAACGTCCATCAAATCGTGCAGACATCGGATATGCTTGTGCCCGTACAATTGAGGAACGCTTCGACTAATTTCTTCCATGATTTAACCGCTCGTTGCTGTATTTATTGTTGTCTACGTTTTTGTAATGTCGTCGGGTTTTCATTTACAAAGTCAAAATTTATTGCCGTTGTTGATGTCAGACAATTATTTACTTGCGAAATGGCCGTGAAAAATTAAATATATCTTTTTGTCAGTAACGATTCCACCTGCAAATAAACCATTCTGACACACAAATTTGTCTCGATTTTTAGACAATTCGAATTCACAGAAGTCTTCTGAGATTTTCTGAATAAATAGAAAAAAAGGATTATGAATGTTTAGAGGAAGGGTATAATTGAGACAATTTTCTAAGCATGTTAGATTGCTATTTCATGCGGAATACATAATTGAATTTTGCTTACAAATTAGTCGTTCGATTGAAGTTCCATTTACAAGTCAAATTACACATTTTTTTTCAAACGTTCTTGCCGTTCGCATTAAGCGCACACTCGCGACCGGTTCGAGTTGAAACGTTGCTGTTTGTCGAATCGCGTTTTATACTTCGCCGTGCTAAAATATCTGGACTCGCCATTTACGAAGGGGATCGAACGCCTTTTTGAAATTCGCGATCGACCGCGTGCGAAATACGTTTCCAACGAGACGCGCGACAGGCTGCGCGAAACTGCATTAAAATACGCCGCGTTTCAAAAAAAAAAAAAAAAAAAGACCGGCACACAATTGAACCGGCCGGATATATATTTTCCCATGCAGAACGGCCGCCGAATACCGATAGTAAAAAAAAAGCCACGACTGTATGCCAATTGAAAAATGCTTTGTGCGAAAGTAATTCTTCGTTTCGATTCGATTGTTCGGTCGGTCGCGTTCGAACATGTCTATTGCTTTCGGATCGTCGGCGAACGACGCTGTTGCGGAATTATAATACGGTCTTACTCGTTGAATGGCTCGCTGAGAAACGCATATTTTATGCATTCGCGACAGAACTTGCGACGTTCAAGATGTAAGTCAGGCCTGGGCAACTTGTGGCTCGCGAGCCGCGTACGACTTCTTCCGCCACTGCTCTGCGATCCCCGCCATGACGATGTTATATAGTATAGTATAGACTGCACTGTACTCGGCGTAGTCAAGAAAATGAGTTATGCAAGGAGGGGGGGTAAGTGACGCATGCGCCGAGAGTCTCGCACAGCGGCGTCTATCTAGTGAACATTATAATTCTGAACTACGATCGCGTCGCGACGATATAATTTATATAACGATCATTAACGATCATGCTAGATCATTATCATTATACAAGATATCTCTTCCTTGCTTCTTCTTCTTCTTTCTTAATTTTACGAATACAGATTTTAATCTTTATAACACGTTAAGGAAATGTGCATTGATAACAGCGTTGACACTTTTATTGACCTGTCGATAACTGAATTATTAACAGACATAAATTATTAATAGATTTTATGCATCTATGATAATAATAATAATAATAATAATAAATAGATCAAATCGAAAATAGCGAAAACGTTTAAAAATTTTGAGAATATTATTGTAACGAAGTTTGTGTATCTTGCAGTTAATTTAGACAAACTTTATTTCGCATAAAAATCCGCGGTCTGGTTATTAAAAATATGGAAATGCGAATGGGATTCGCAGTAGAACGGCGAAACTGTGTATCATCGTACAGTGAATTATACATTCTTGAAAGAAATGTCTGGTTCGAATCTGTTAATTAAAAAGCCATGCTCGATGTTCCAGCAATGTCGTAAACCTTTTCAACGTTCTACATTCTTTTCAACTCCCTAAAATGAAGGCTCCGCAAGGCTCCGTACTGTTTTATCCAGCCAAATAAAAGACAGCTGAATTCCAGATTACCCACTGGAAGTAGATAGCGTATAATGTCGTGGAACGTTTTCATTCTACAGTAGAATTTCTACTCGGGAGAGCTCCCTGCCGCGTCCCTTAAAATATTTCAGTGCCTATCTACGGCACCCTGCATGAATTTTAAACGCGCCATGAACCGCCCGCATTCCTCATTTGCTCTGATAATCTTGTGTCGAAGCCGTCGCGTGCCCATGCACCCTCGTGAAATATTCCAATTCGTCAACGATTCTCCGTGTGTCGTACCTGAACACCTTAAACGCTTGCCGGACGAAAAATAAATGCAACGTTTACTTCACGTCCGCGACACGTTCTTCCATCGTCCTTCGTTGTCCTACTTTCGGACCGTGGATTATTTCAACCGTGCTGCTACATTAGAAAAACCTAACGCGGAGAAAAAGGTTTGAAGATTCCTCGCGATAAACATTCATTTCTGTTCATGAGCTCCTGCATGTTAAGAACCGTTCTATGCACGGCTGGTAGGATTAAACGTCGACTATATGAGAGTAATATTTTCTTTTCATTGTCGCAGAGACAATCGCGCCGCTCTTCCGGATACTGCAGGAGAGACTGTCTCTTATCGGAAGGTTTATTTTTCTAATATGTCCAGATACCGAAGGATTC